ATCTGCAAATTTTGCCACCTCACTGTTTATTCCTTTCTCTAAATCCTTTATAAATAAGTTGAATAGGATAGGTCCCAGGACAGACACTTGGGAGACCCCACTAGTTACCTCTTTCCACTCGGAAAACTTATTTATTCCTATCATTTGTTTTCTGTCTTTTAACCAGTTATCAGTCCATGAAAGGATCTTCCTTCTTATCCCATGACAACTTACTTTACTTAACAACCTTTGGTGAGAGATCTTGCCAAAGACTTTCTGGAAATCTAAGTATACTGTATCCACTGGATCTCCCTTGTCCACATGTTTGTTGACTCCCTCAAAGAACTCTAATAGATTAGTAAGGCACGATTTCCCTTTGCAGAAACCATGTTGATTTCCCCCAACAAATGATGATGATTTTCCATGTGTCTGACAATTTTATTTTTCACTATAGTTTCCGCTAATTTGCCTGGTACTGATGTTAGACTTACCAGTCTTTAATTGCCATGATCACCTCTAGCACTCTTTTTAAATATTGGTGTCACGTTAGCTATCTTCCAGTTATTAGGTACGGAAGCTGATTTAAAGGATAGGTTACAAACCACAGTTAATAGTTCCACAATTTCCCATTTGAGCTCTTTCAGAACTCCTGGGTGAATGCCGTCTGGTCCTGGTGATTTGTTACTGTTAAGTTTATCAATTTGTTCCAAAACCTTCTGTAATGGCACCTTAATCTGGGACAATTCCTCAGATTTGTCACCTAAAAAGAATTGCCCAGGTTTGGGAATCTCCCCAATAGCCTCAACCATTAAGACTGAAGGAAAGAAGTGAAAGAGCCAGACGAATACCTAGAAACCATCTACTTCAAGACAGACCCAAGAAAACCAACAATAGAACACCACTTGTCATCACCTACAACCCCCAACTTAAACCTGTCCAACACATTATCAATAAACTACAGCCTATATTGGAACAGGATACCATACTCAAAGAGGCTCTGGGAGACAGACCCATAGTCTCCTATAGACAACCACCTAACCTCAAGATGATTCTTACCAACCACCACAGGACATACCACACTAATACCAACCCTGGTACCTTCCCTTGCAACAAACCCCGTTGCCAGCTTTGTCCACATATTCATTCTGCTGATACCATTATTGGACCTAACCAAGTGAGTTATAAGATCAAGAACACATATTCCTGCGCATCCAGAAATATAATCTATGCTATCATGTGCCGAAAGTGTCCGTCTGCTATGTACATTGGACAAACATCTCAGACACTTCGCCAAAGGATTAATGCCCACAAAACAGATATCAGACAAGATCACAAAGAGAAAACAGTTTCTTGCCACTTTAACCAGAAAGGACACTCTCTAAATGACTTAGCCACCTGCATTCTGCTACAAAGACCTTTTACATCTGCACTTGAAAGGGAATCCTCTGAACTGTCATTCATGTTAAAATTCGACACTTACCACCAGGGACTTAACAAGTCTTTGAACTTTCTCACCCATTATCAAGACAGTTTCCCCAATTATCACCTGTAATACCATTAACTCACAAACATCCCACTCTCCCTACCTCTAATATCATCAATTCACAGACACTTACCTTCCTTCCTCCCCCTTCCCACCCCCCCGCATCCCCCTTCTGTTCTGCAATGTGATTTGTCCTTTTCTTATTTGTTTATTTTTTTTTAATTGTATCCTTTGGTATATATGGTTGTGACTACTTTCTTCCACTATTTGATCTGAGGAAGTGGGTCTGGCCCACGAAAGCTCATCATCTAATAAACCATCTTGTTAGTCTTTAAAGTGCTACATTGTCCTGCATTTTGGTTGTTTAGCTGGCTTCCTGCTTCTGATGTACTTAAACATTTTACTATTGCTTTTTGAGTTTTTTGCTATCTGTTCTTCAAACTCCTTTTTGGCTTTTCTTATTGTATTTTTGCACTTAATTTGACAAAGATTATGGTCCTTTCTGTTTTCCTCACTAGGATTTGACTTCCACTTTTTAAAATATCTTTTTATCTGTCACTGCTTCTTTTACTTGGTTGTTAAGCCACAGTGGCATTTTTTGGTCCCCTAATGTGTTTTTTAATTTGGGGTGTACATATAAGTTGGGCCTCTGTTATGGTGTCTTTGAAAAGTTTCCATGCAGCTTTCAGAGATTTTCCTTTTTTCACTATACCTTTTAATTCCTATTTAACTAACTTCCTCATTGTTGTGTAGTTCCCCTTTCTAAAATTAAATGCCACAGTGTTGGGCTGCTGAGGTGTTTTGCCCCCACAGGGATGTTAAATTTTATTATATTATGGTCACTATTTCCAAGTGGTTTAGTTATATTTACCTCTTGAACCAGATCCTGCGCTCCACTTAGGACTAAATCAAGAATTGCCTCTCCCCTTCTGGGTTCCAGAATCAGCTGATCCAAGAAGCAGTCATTTAAGATACCATGAAATTTTATTTCTGCATCCAGTCCTGAGGTGATGTTTACCCAAGTCAGTATGGGGATAGTTGAAATCCCCCACTATTATTGAGTTTTTTAATTTGATAGCCTCTCTAATCTCCCTTATCATTTCATAGTCACTGTCATTGTCCTGACTAGGTGGTCGATAATATATCCCTACTGCTATATTCTTATTATTGGAGCATGGAATTACTATCCGTACAGATTCTGTAGAATACTTTGACTCTTTTAAGATTTTTACTTAATTTGATTCTGCATTTTCTTTCACGTATAATGCCGCTCCCTCACCAGCATGACCTGTTGTATCCTTCTGATATACAGGCAGTCCCCGGGTTACATGGATCCGACTTACATCGGATCCCTACTTACAAACGGCATGAGGTAACCCCGCACTAGCTGCTTCCCCCCAGCAGACCGGAGAGACACGAAGCTAGCGCCCTCTCCCCCCCAGCAGACCAGGGAGGCGCGGAGCGGCTTTTCTCAACGCTTGAGAATAAAGGCCTGAGGGAAGTGAGGTGTGGGAGAATAAAACTGAGCTCTGGAGAAATGTTTGGCTAGAGTTTCCCCTACAATATGTACCAGTTCCGACTTACATACAAATTCAACTTAAGAACAAACCTACAGTCCCTATCTTGTACGTAACCCGGGGACTGCCTGTATTTTGTACCCTGGTATAACTGTGTCTTTGATTATCATTCTACCAAGTTTCCATGATGCCTATTATATCAATATTCTCCTTTAAAACTAGGCACTCTAGTTCACCCATGTTACTATTTAGACTTCTAGCATTTGTGTATAAGCACTTTAATAATTTGTCACTATTTATCTGTCTGCCATTTCTTGATGTGTTAGACTCTCATTTTGATTGTGTCTCATCTGATCTGACCCATACTTCCATCTTCTACTCCTGACTGAAACATAGAGCATCTCTGTTAATAGAGCCTCTCCTAATATATGTCTAGTATGTACTTCTACCACCTAGTATGTACTTCTACCTGGCTTTTCTCACAATGAAAAGTAACCTCATCATTGCTCTCATGCCTTCAGAATTATCCAATAGTAAGTCCAGTTTGATATTATTCTTGGAGCTCTGTGTGGATACACAATTGATATCCACATCTGCAAAAATGATCTATACATATCTGCATTCACATCCGTGGACGTGGATATCTGGATACATAGTGGATATTTGCAAGACTCTAGATATGAAATTCATGCTGCATCTGTTATGCTTATAAGAAACACATAGGATCTTTTTAGAGGAGAAGGCAATATTGTTTATTGAGAATTCAGACAGACACACCAGTCCTTCAAACATTGTTATAGTTATCAGTTTGTTGCTCACATTATCCTCGGGGCCATTGAGGCTGAGATAAAGGGAGGAGCTGGGCTTTGTCGGTTCAGACTGATGCTCCAGATCTTGGTAGGATAGAACCAAAGCTTCATGGCAAGGCACGGCATCTTTTATAAGAATCCCTTATGTAAACTTATGGATTTTGCTGCATTATATTGTAATTAGTCACTTTGCTGCATACGTTTATTTGGAGATTGTTTTTATTATTGTTTAGTATTTGTCTGCTGATGATATTTTGGGGTGTTGTCCCACTTTTGGTTTTAACAGAATTTCTTATTATCACACATTGTGAGTGCTTGCTTCTAACTTTAGGTTCCTCAAACTGGCCCTCAGTCATCAAATACAGTGGGTACATAAACACTCAGATTCCTTACTTATACTTACAGGAATTGCTTAGTGCAAAACATTTTAAGATTAAAAATAACGATTACAGTTTTTTCCATAATTCAAAAAACATTTGTACCCTCTTAAATTAAAGACCAGTCCTAAAGGTAAAGGGGTGACCATAGTGATTCAAGAGGACTATTCTGGTCTGTTCCTGCCGTAACATCAGTGGCCGTCAAAAGCAGCCTGTTGAATGCATCTTTACAAACAGCAGTTAGCTGTTTCTTCATGCTAGTTAGAAAGGGTGGCTGTTAGGGTACACTGAAGCACATTACATTGTGTAAAGCTACATTTCAGTTACATGGCTACACATCCATATCCTCAAAAAATGAGCTACGGAGAACTGAAGATTTGCAGGGGTCTAATTATCATCCTTGTGCTTAAAACCACAGACAGACCTTTTCAGTCTCTTCATTAGCCTCCCCTCTCACAATACAGCATGGATTGTGTCCTCTAGAAGTACCTGGGATCTTATTCGTAAAAAATGATTCACCAGTACAACCTGAAAATATTGCCGAGAAATTGAGTAGTCTCTTCAGGAAGTGTTATAAGTATTGATACACAAGCTTTTATCTCTGCAACTCTTGCCATTGCAAATGAACTGTGCCTGTATCTATCTAGGTAATTGACTCTCAATCTTACTTGAAAATATATTCCCTTAATTTCTCTTCCTATTGTTTTAGATCTATAGTTTTATTATTGTATGAAAGAGGCGAGATAAATAATTTTAGCATATTAAAATAAGTTCTCTCTGCTACAATCCATCACACTGTTATGTCTTACTGTGGTTTTTCTTAATTGTCTCATAGAATTTGGAATGGTCTCCCTGATATTTGCTGCAGCACTAGCCTACTTCCCATCACGCCCTCCATTTCCTCCCAGTGTGGCTGCAGCTAGTCAACGGCTGAGCTATAGGAGAAGTTTTTGTAGGCTATTAAGGTAGGTGCTCCTGGAAACAGCTTGCGTTTACAGTTCAAGGCAAATTCAGCTTTTTTTAAACCTAAATTTAAAAAAGCAAAACAGACTATGCGCTATAATCTTCTCACTGAAGAACAAATAAGTTAATTTGCAATGCTTTGTAACCAAATTAAATATTCATATGTAGATATGAAAGAACACTTAAATGTTAAAAAATAAAGTCTTTAAATATTAACCATGTTCAGAATATCGCAAATGTGTCAGAGCCCCTCAGTATCATTACTGCTATGGTCAGTTAAGACAACCTCTAAGTCAGTGGTGGGGAACTTTTCTTGGGTCAGGGGTCACTGACCCACAGAAAAATCAGTAGGAGCCCATGTGAGAAGGAGAAGAAAAAATCCTCAGTTGTGGTCCCCAATTAACAAACAGGAAAAAAGACACCTTTCCTCAGCCCCTTTAAGCTCCATCCCCACAGGGCGGGGAAAGGTGCCAAGGCTTAGCGCTTACCCCCAAAGCTGGATTAAGTCTTCTGTCTCAGCTCCCAGGGGAACATAAGTATCTCTGCAGGGCTCTGCGCACTGCAGGGCAGGGCTCCTTGGAGGCACCACCCCCATATCGCTCCCATTAGTTGCAATTCCCAGCCAATGGGAGTGACAGAGGGCAGCGCTTGCAGGGACCACTTCTCTGCAGTGTGCAGAGATTCTTCCTGCCCCCTTCCAGGCAGATCCCAGGGGCCCAGTCCAGCCCCAGTTTGCCTAGATTGGGTCCCCAAATTTTGTCGTCCTCTCTTCTCTTCCTGCCACCCAGCATCGTGAGCCAACTGGCGCTGGCACTCTAGCCACAGTGCCCCTTATGTGGCTGGAATGCCAGCATCAGCTCCTGTCACTGAGAGAGGGAAGGCAAGCCTCGAGCCTCATGAACTGGATCAAGGCAAACCATGGTCTGGGTCATAAATTCCATACCTCTGCTCTAAATAATAATTTTGTTGCACTGAATACAAGATGATTAAAGGGGTGTGTGCTGTAAAGTGGTGAAGTAATTAATTGAACACTGTGAATAACTGACCATTAAATTGCTTTTTTCATTTTCTTAATCTATTAACATTGCAGATTGCTCTTTGTTGGAATAACTTGGGGTCCAGTTTCTCGTTCACATGTGAGCCCCACAGTCCATGGGGGTAAATGTGCAAATGCACCTAAGGCAGATTTTAGCCCATCTGAGTCCTGTTAATTGCATGTGGTGTTAAAGTGAAAAATGGGGGAATGAAAAATAAGTCATATTGCTGGGCAAGGTCTCAGATCAAACATTTATGTTTTTTTAACTTTGCTATAAAGAAAATGTGCAAATAGTGCTATTACTGGTGTTTTCAGAACCCCTAACGGGCAAATTAACTATTTCATTCCAGGTGGCATAAGGAATAAATCAACAACAACTCAGCAATTCTGTCTGATTGAGGAGTAATGCAAATAAGCATGCTTTTGTCTGACACTGTAGTAAATTAGATTTAAGCACACATGGACATAAGCAATATGTTTAGAACATCCTAGATATTTACCTAAAATCTGGAACGGTATTGAGTAATTATTAGCAAGTTTGCAGTGACCAGTTGCTCACTCACTGGGAAGAAAAATGTCAGGAAAAATGTGTCTCAAAGTGACTTCAGAGGTCTTCTTCAAAGTACATTCCATTAACTAATCATTTATAAATAAAACACATAGGTCATAATGACCGCTGCTGGATCATCCCTTTTTTGAATAATCTTGTACTATCACAGGCATCTAGACTCAAGATTTTCCAGCTACCAAGGTTTTCAGACAGATTAGTAGAAACTAGCTACTGTTGAGTTTGCTTCTGAAAACCTATTTCCAAATTAGACTTTAATTATGTGGTGTTCTGTTTTACTGATTTATGGTGGATGAATGCAAGTAATATGGTTGCAATTAGTTTAGTCACATTCTGGGGTATACTCACCCCTCAAATCCAAGGCAATAGTGCTTCCTTTCTCCCACATTTTATCTGTCCTGTGTATTTAAACTGCAAGCTCTTCAGGGCAGGGACTATTTCTTTTTATATACATATAGCACCTAACACAATGGCATCCTGATATCAATTGGGTCCTCTTGGAGCTGCTTGAATATAAATAAAAAGTATGCTTAAAGGCCAGAATCCCATAACTGATGCATATAGAGTTGGTTGACTTCAGTAGAGCTCTGCTTATGCAGCAATCTGTCAGCAA